GCCTCTACAGTCTGTAAAGGATAAGAAACCGGTTCCTTTTAGAGTCCCCAGGAGGAACACAGCCCTACCAACATCTTGACCAGTGAGACCTTTTTTAAACTCCTGACCTCGGTAACTATAAGATAATGATACACTCATGCTGTTCTAAGCCACTACTTTGTAGCAACTTGCTATAGCAAAAGTAGGAAACTAATGCCATCGCCATGAAGGAAATTAGTGGTTGTCAGCAGAGAAAGGAAGGAGACGATGAGCCGTGGACAGTTTGTACAGAAGTGCAGAGGGACAATTTGCCTTTAAATTCTCCCTGTTCTGGTGATGTCTAGTAGAAATTCCTGAAAGATTTTAATGGAACACGTTTTCCCAAACTTTAAAAATATTCTACTGGTTATTTCAATAGCAAGATGGAATTGGAGACAAGTTATTTGTGCTTCAGTAGGCTTCACACCCAAAAGCTGCAAAAGAAATTTTGAAAAGAAGAATTTCTGAACATATGAAACAATTGAAATAATTTTCTTGAATGCTACTGTGTTAATTATGAAAATGGTAGGTATGAATGATTCATTCATTCTTTTAAGAAATATTTATTGTGCATCTAGCATATGTTAAGTTCCCTGAGAATACAATAGTTCAGAAACATTGCAGGAATGCTTTTATAAAGCTTATAGTCTTTAAAACTTTACAAAAATACTTAGGGCCATTCATTTGGAAAAATACCAAATGTTAGGGTGGGAAGCAACTTCAGTGATAAACCAGTCAAAATCCTCTATGTTGTAGATGAAAAAAATGAGGCATACAGAGGTCAATTAAATTAGACTAAAAAATGTGTATCTATATATCTATACCTATATCTTTATATAGTTAGTTTTACAGGACAAATAATTTAACCTAGACGAGTGCCTTTTCCATAATAGACATGGCAAAGCACTGGGTTAACATATTCACCCTAGGTTATAAAATGAAGTAATGATGAAGGTAAGGACAGAGCCTGAACTTCTCTTGAGATCCTGGTGGAATTTTCTTCAATAGTGTCCATATGATAAAAGCCTCTGGACCAACCTCTTAGTCCAGTCTCCTTGACTCATTGAAGGAGCATTCAATCTCAGAGATGTTAAGGATCTAGCTTAAAGCTGAACTCAGTTGTCCTGCTGGTTGATCTGAAGGCTGGAGGATAGAGAACACACAGAAAGAGGATGGTGTACAGCATCCTGAGACATCCCTTGCTTTCCCTGGGAGGACACACAGCAATCACAGACACTGGAGGCCCGTCCCTGGATATTGATGAATGCAGTGCTGGTGTGTTCTACCACCCAACACTGAGCTGAGCTCAGCCACTGCCTCTTCATGACTGTTCTGCATGGCCCTCGGCTTCTTTCAGCTGCGGCCCCCAGTCTGGAAGCCCCTGTACCTGAGCGGCCAGACTGCTGAACTTATTTTCCTCTTCCCCTTTCCCAGAAAGCTAAAAGAGAAATTGTCATAGTCTTCCCTAATCCATATGCTGGCTCTACCCGCAGAGACCCAGAGTTCATGCTCATGGCATGCCCCCCTCATTTTAAATCTCTGCTTTCATGCCTGAAACCAAGATTTGCATTTTGGGGAGTCTTTGGGCACCCACATTTTGAGAGTGTGATGGGTCCTAGATGGGGCAGCAGAGAGTGTTGAGCAAAGACCACTCAGGTTGTAGGCAGGGTTGACAGGTGAAACACAAAATGCCTAGTTCAATTTGGGTGTCAGATAAAAACACACCCTCAGTATTACAGTATGGTAAAATAATCATTGTTTATCTGAAATTCAAATTTAACTGGGCCTCCCATATTTTCATTTCCTAAATTTAACAGACCCCAATTTGTGGGGAATAGATGTCATGTCCTGGTAGGTGCCAGAGTGCTGAGCTGTTTGAATGAGGAAAGGAGAAAAAGAGAAAGAAACAAACAAAACACAATAATTCTTTAGAAGAAAAATCCATCAATGCTCCCCACCCCTCTCATTTTGATCCTTCGTGCATGGTGTGTGTGTGCACACTATAAATCCTTGTGTTTTGTTGACATGGGATCGTGGTATTGAGGAAGATTGTTGACAGTGATACTGATTATTGATGTTGACCGAACAACAGTGAGATTAAAAACAGTAAAAATGTAGTTAGTTTAAAAGTAACACTATTTATTGCATTTATGTGAGCTGCCTACCATATCTGCCCAACTGCCTCACAGCTCAGTCTCAGTTTTGCCTGTGCCCAATCTTTATGTATTTTCAGAGAAACACAAAATGTTACCAAAGGGTCTGAGAAATCATCTAGTCTGACTTTGGCATTTACACATGAAATAAACAAGACTCAGAGAGAAAGTGACCACTACAGAATCTGGCTTCTTAGTAATATTAATAGTAGAACAATATTTTTTTGAGGGCTTACTAAGTGCCAGGCATTTTTCTTAGTGGTCTACTTGCATGATCACATTTAATCCTCACAACAATCCTCTGATCATTCTCATTAGTCAAATGAGGCACCTGGAGACAGAGAGAATTCTATAGCTTATCTAAGGTTCCAGTCTCTATGGCTAACAAGTGGAGAAGCCAGCTAAAATCCCAGCTAGTGTTGGTCTAGACCCACACATTCAACCATGAAACTGCAAACTGCAGCCTACCTCTCGGATAAGATGAGATTATATCATCAAACATGTTCATACATGGACACTGTCACAGGTCACTGCTCCTGTGGCATGCATCTTCCTTAATCATAATGTCACTTGAATATAGCTCACAGGGAGCTGGCTGGATGCTGTTGCCATTCTTGTCACCTTCAGAGTTGAAGCAGTTATCTGCTCACTAATAAACAAGCCCCATATTACAAGGAGTCTACTATGATCAGACAGCAATTTAGTGTCATTAATTTTTTTGAAATATTTTTAATGAAATATGAAACACCATGGTCTACTGTCAAAGCAAACATTAGCAGTCAGATGGAATTTTATGAGTTTACATCCTGAGTACCTCATGAGAGAAAAGAAGGAACAAAGAAAAGAGAGAGAGAGAGAGAAATCAAAACAAGGAAGAAGGCTTCCTAATCCACTGTTAGTCACCAAATAAACCAAGTCTTCTCAGGAAGAGTTAGGCCCCTGTGTAAATGCACTGCCAGCCAGGCTTCCACGTCGGAGCATCTGTAGTTGTAATTATACCCAGAATGAATAATCACCGTCCTCAATATTATGTCTCCTTAGTTTTACATTATGCTTGCTGTTCTTCTCTGCCTTTCAGATGATCAACCCCTTGCATCACAGATGATCAATCTGCTCAGTCCATTTCCAGACCCAGCTTCCCTGCTTATCAGAGGTGGAGGGCTGAGCATGCCTGCATCTGCTTTGACACCTTGTTCCCTGACGCTATCCTTCCTGTGGCACCAGAGACTGTCCACACTTTAAAGGGTGGGGGGAGGCAGCAATCGGAATTCTCAGAAGTTCCAGGGTCTGCCTGGGAGACCCCAGAACCACACCAGTCCATGGAGGCAGGAATTGGGAGCCATCGTCTTCCCTCTGGGCTGCATCCCAGAGGGAAGGCTTTCTTTGATAAACCTGTCCTTGTAATCCCATCCAGTACCCCACCAAATCCTTTGAGAGACAAACCAGCCCCTCCCCTGCCCCCAACATGAACTGGCAAGGGTGCCTTTGACATGAATGTAGCTTTTTGCAAAACAAACCTGCATCCTCTTTTCTTCAGAAAGGTGGCAGTGTTGCCTTGCGGTTTTGACCAAATTACAAAGCAGTGGCCAAGTCTCCAGTGGATTAACAGACCAACTACCTCACCTCACCAAGGGAAGGAGAGGAAGGATGTAACTAACCAACATTGAACCCAATGGCTGGCAGACGGGCCCCAGAGTGCCAGGGCCCTGAGTATTATGACCGGCTAAGCTCAAGTTTTCATCTTGTTCCAACATTACAGAGACTAAGGAAATCTCCAATGGAACCACAGACATCTCAAAGCCAGGAACATCTAAGGCAATCACAGATAACCCTTACTTTCCTGCATCCACTTTTCTCATTCCTGAAACATCCATCCAGAGTGAAACACTGAGTGGTCCTATTAGAAGGGGAAAGAACACTTAGCAAATTAGGCCAGCATCCTTACAGCACCTGCTCTAAGGAATGTTCACATCAGAGTTCTCACAAATGAATTCATCTTCTAACTAAAAGTTCCGCCATTTATTGAGAGTCTTGTTACTGATTTATAAAACCAATATTACACACAGTTATGGAGAAAGAACTTGAGAAGGCAAGGGTCTGAATGTGGAACCCCACACATTCAAAGCCGCCATGGGTGCCTGCATCAACCCTTCATGAGCAGCGCTCAGCGTTCCCATCTCTCTCACTCACCTTTACTCAGCGTCCTTTGAGAAGTTTCTCTATGCGCTACTGATACAGAAATTTGGGGGAAAATTCTCCATTTATAAATATCAGATGGTTTGGGAAAAAATATTTGTGGCACTGGACTTTTTTTCCCTCTACAGTGATGTCATTTTAAATACTTGTTGTGCTCCAAATTTGCTATTTTTACTTTCCCCAAGTGACTTTTTTTGGGAAATACATTGTTTGGATTAGCTACATTTTAAGTGACCCCTGTAATCTGATCCGCAGCATCAGGTTCATCTTCTCAGCAATTATAACTAATATTATGCAGCTCATAATCTTGAAATCCCTTATTTGTTCATTTTAAAACTTGTTCCTTTTGGGCGAATCTCCAAATTTTTTATTCACAAATACAGAGAAAAAAATAAAATGAAAGGATTGGCCTTTTCATAAACAAAAGCACATTCAACCACTCAAAGGACTTAAAAACGGAAGACAGGAAAGGCCCCCAAAGTCAAATAAAATTTTCACCTCCAAAATGTGCTCTTGGGGAACAAGGTTGAAGCAGCCACGGCGGGCTCTGAGACATTTACTGGAAAGCAATGTAGAGTTGAGAAGTGCAGAAGAAGAAAGTTTAGGAAGGAATGCTAAATGCCTCAGCCCTACCTGATCTGAACTTGCTCCTAATCAGCAAAGAGTGCTCAGCCCCCAGGAGGGTCATGTTGAGTCTCAGCGAGCCGCTGGTCCCTTGGCCAGACGCCCCCTGCTTTCCACCAGGAACAGGCTCCCGGGAGCCCAGCTGACAGCAGCTAACAACCCAGAATTCATCCAACTCTCTGGGAGCTCCCCTGGGTAGGAGTACAGTGGCAGTCTGTGACCGAAACCAGTGTCCCCAGAAAACTGGTTGTCTCCCCCCTCGCTGTGCGGGGCTGGTTAACTCTTAGCCGGCAGGACCCTCCTCCTCCTGCGTCTGGCCAGGAGCGTCGGCATCCCAGGCGTTCTTGGCTGATGTCATAGGCTGCTAGCGTTTGCGGAGTATTACCACCACGCCTTTATCAAGGTCCGAAGTTTGCTATCTGATACTTTTTTACTACTGACAGGAGCTCAGCCAATCAGGAGCGGCGAGTGGGGGCCAGGGACTTGGAGCCGCCAGAAGCGTCTTCTGAGCCGGGTCTTAACTCTTTACAGCTGGCTGAGAGAACACCGAAGCGCAGGGACTGGAGGCTGGGTGAAGGTCCGGCACTGGCAAGGGGCAAAGTTAAGAAGCCGGAAGGACAGACAGGAGGGTTGCAAAGCACCTGGGCTCTCAGATGGTGCACGTAGAGGGCTTGGGCCTGGGTGGATTGGAGCCGCGGGGCTTCCCCGCCGCTGAGCCGCTGCCTGGGAGGCAGGCGAGACGGGAATCTCCTACCAGAGATGGGGCGCGCGCGCCTGCGGGACTCACAGTTCACCTCGCTTTGCAGATAAACTGGACCACCTGCCGATTAACAAAGCTTCTAATAGAGCGAAGTGCCCACTTCCTTTCCCCGTTTGAGGGTCACAGGCACAGACTATATACATCTCGCAACTCAACTATCAGACTTGGATACATGTCCACGGAGAAAAGGAAAAGCCTTTCATTTTTCTGGGATGTGCCCTTTCTGGACAACCTGACTCAGAGTGTCTGCACATCCAGCAGGACACAGTGCTCTCCATCTGAGGAAGACGCACGAATTGAACGCCCTTTTGTACTCTCAGTAGGGTGAGATTCGAGGACGGGGGTGTCTGGAACAGGAGCAAGTCCGAGCAGGGGTTGTCTGGGCTTAGGGTGGAGAGGCTCGAGGGCTTTTCCTAAGAGGGAGTGAGGCCCCCCTAAGGGCAAAATCCATTCCAAATTGAAGACAGAACATTGCACACCCAGAATGTGCCAGGGTTTATCAGCTCATCAAAAAATAAAATAAAGACCCTGCTCTCAGAAGCTGCTTAAGTTGGCATTAAGTTGGCAGCACAGAAAATTAAAACAAAAAACAGGCTATGTATGTATGTAAAGTAGGGTTGTATTTTCTTTGCACTCTTACATGGGCATGGGCCTCCAGGTATCATCTGTTACATACGTGACTGCTTGTGTCTTAGGAGGCCCCTAAACCCTTAAAAGATCAGTGGGTGACAGGTGAAGACCTGATATAACAGTAACTCATGGTACAACTTTTAATGTCCCAAGTCTGGGCCTCTGCCCGAATTCTCTGATTCTTGAGTCCACTCTTTGGATCTGAGCAGACATTTATTTAACTAAGGTCTTTTGGGAGAGACCACTATTCCGGATGTGTCAGAAAGGAGGCAGCGCAAGCCCACCCATGTTCCCTTTGGGAAGAGTGGCTTGGCTGTGGAGCCTGTGTGGAGGCTGATGTAGTGTGCACAAGCGTTCCAATGGTTGTGCAGCATTCCCATTCAGGCTGTATTACTTTCTTAGTCCTGCTGTATGCAACAGGCCAAGGGGCTTAAAACAGTACAAATTAGTTATTCTGCAGTCTGGAAAGTCAGAAGTCTGAGATGGGTCTCAATGGACTGGAATCAAGGTGTTTGCAGGGCTGGGTCCTGTCTGGAGGATCTAGAAGAAAGTTGTTTTCTTGCCCTTTTCCAGCTTCTAGAGTCTGTCTATGTGTCCTGGCTCACAGCCTTCCTCCATCTTCAAAGTCAGCAGCAGCGGGTCAAGTTCTTACCGTGTAGCATGGCTTTCACTTCTACCCTTCTACTTCCTCCTACACACTTAAGGACCCTTGTGAGTACCTTGGGCTCACCTGGATAAACTCTGGTGCAAGGTCAGCTGATGAACAACCTTAATCACTCCGATCTGTTACCTTATTTCCTTTTGCCATGTACTTTAGCATGGTCACAGACTCCTGGGATTAAGATGTTAACATGGGAAGAGGGGGCTTTATTCTGCCTGTGAGACAGCATGACCCCTTTTTCAAACCAGAATGTCCTTGTCCTCAGTCAATCCCCAGACTCCTGGTCTTCAATGAAAACAGGTCAAATGGAAGGAGGTTTGGCCATGGGGATGCACAGGAGCCTGAAGGAACCCTGGCAAGCTTGGAGATGCCTGTGGTGGGGAGGTCTCGGGTGGGGAAGAGATTGGTGGGATAAGGAACATTGCTGAATTATCTGAGTAGAGAAAAAAACTATTCTGAGCAACTTTAAAAACAAAAGAAATCCAAACAGATTGTTATCCTGAGGACTGTGGAGATGAGAAGAAGGCAGCTTGGCAGAGAATTGTTTTCTTAGTGAAAGTTGTGATAAAAACAGCTGAAGACAGCATTGACTATGAGGGTCTGCATGACCTAGATGAGTTGGACAGGAGTTAATTGTTTTTCCTCTGATGGCCTGCATGTGTGCAAGTGTGCATGTGTAAAGGGAAGCAAGTTTCTTTTTTCAGTGCATTTGGGAAATGCTGGTAATCATAGCCTTCCTCAATTTTCCCATCATACTGTGGAGCTGCCCTCTGGGATTTATACCCCCTATGGCATGGAATATCCATGGATATAAATATGCTCATATAGAAGTTCATCCTTCTCCCTCTCTATGCAGGCATTTTTTGAGAAAAAAAATTAGTGGGATTTCATGAGGATGTTTCCAAGGGGAGCAGCATGGCCTGTGGTGCAATGGGAGCAGCAGGCCAGCGTGAGAGCAGGCTGCTAGGCTCTGTCCTACATCAGATCGATCACCTCAGCAGCACTTATCTGCCTCACTACCCTGTGACCTTCTGGGGAGTGAGCCTGGATGTGATGTAGGGAGACACAGGAGCTTCTAGCAGCAGGGAGAGTTTCATTTGAGTCTCCGCTACCACCGTGACCTGGAGTGAGTTATTAAAGTCCTGTGAGACACTGAGATCTTCATGTAAGTTGGAGTTAGAAATGCTCTCCAGAAAACTTGGAAAGTTTAAATGAAATAACACATTTGGAGCACCTAGAACAATTCTTGGCAAAACTAAAGCTCCTTTCTTTACCCTCTTCTCGCCTCCAACTGTTCTTACTGATTTCAAGCAATCCTGGCACCTTCTCTTTTGTTATGGCTTTCCTTTCCTTTGCCATCAGTTATCTGTGGCTGTCTAACAAATTACCAGCATAAGACAGCACACACGCTTATCTTCCCATGGGCCCGGGTTCCGGGCTTGACTTAGCTGGTCCTCTGCTCAGGATCTCACAAAGTTGCAATCAAAGTGTTGGCTGGGACTGTGGTCCCATTAAAGGCTTAGGGTCCTCTTCCCAGCTCACTAGCTGTTGGAAGAATTCGGCTCCTTGCAGCTCTAGAGTCCACCATGGATGCTTCCTCAGGGCCAGCTAGAGAATCTGCCTCGGGAAAGTCTCTTTTAAAGGGCTTGTCTGATTAGTGAGACGTGCCCAGGATTAGCTCCCTTTTGATTAACTCAAAATCATGCTAATTAGGAACCCTAGTGATACCTGCAACCACTTTACTTCAGCCAGGTAATACCACCTAGTCAGGACAGTGTCTGTGTGCCTCCTTCAGCAGCCCATCCCATGCTGAAGGATTATATAAGGGTGTAACTCTTTGAGGGTGACTTGAGAATTCTGCCTTCCACAGCTGTGATCCTTGGCCCTCCACCAACTGGGAGTGATGCTGTATGGAGGTGTGTCTGTAGCACAGCTCAGGGTTCTCAGCTTGAACTCTGACCCCTTGTGGACTTCCTTAGGGGTCAGCATGAGGTCAGCTATGAGGTGACAGAGCAGGGCACAGTGAGCTGAGGGACAGACAGCTCACCTCTGTTGCCCTCAGAGCCTCCAGCTATCCCTTTCTGAGCACAAGACACTCACCCTGCCCAAGGTCATCACCATCTTCTTGGGTCTCTCCATCTTCCAGTCCTAAGTGCCTGTTCCTGGTATTATGTCTCATCTGTTTCTCTTTTTTCTTTCACATGTCATGTTGAACATTTCTTCTCTTTTTGCTTCATGTCTTCATGTGTTCAGGGGAACATTTGTTTCTCTTTCACCCGTTCATTGGTAACGTACTGAGGGATCTTTGTAAACCACTTCGGCAAGTGCCCTGGTAGACATACAGTAAAGAGATAAGTTTGCAAATGCAGATGAGAAGAGCAGAGTTAGAGAAAACTTGGTGGGGAGAGGGTGTACACAGCAAACTCTCAGCACATGGCCCATCCACGTGGGCCAGCCACAACCTGGCTCCAGCTGACTGTAGCTTTTTGGGAGTGACAACAGACATTCACTGTTCCTTCCAATTGTCCAAACACACTGGAAATCCAGGTTATAATGTTCAATGTATTAATTTTAAAAGATATGAGCAACTATCCATAATTTAAAAGTAACTTTTAAGACACAGTATCAGTAAACCAGGGGAAGATCCAGGTTTTGGGACCTGAGCCTTATACAGTTGGGGGCCTTTCATAAAACAAGTGCAAAATTAGAAATGTGATGGGTAGTATAAGTGTGACCACTGACTTAGAATGATAAATCGAAGTACAATGAACTGGAGCGTGGATGATTCATTTCCTTTCTCATAAGATCCTTCAGTCAACTGCCCAGAAATGAGAATGCAGACATGTCTCCTAATTGCATTCTGGCCTCCTCTTCCCACCTGGAACTCACTAGAACTCCAAGCTATTCCCAGCACCCACAGTGCCAGTACCAGTGGGAGGGGTTGGAGGGAACCCTGAAGCTAAATTTTCATTAACATCATGGTAAGTCTAAATCCATCTCTGGTGTTAAGAAAATGTATGCAAACCGAGAGAGACTCATGCAGCTCTGTTTTGCCGCCCCTGCTATGACATCTGTGCTCTGGTCTCCAAGAAGCATCATCGAGACACCAGGAGCAAGGGTGAAATAAGTACTTCCAGGTCACTTGTTAGGGAATTACCTAGTTAAGGAATGCAACCTCAGTCTATCAGCTTGTTTCAATTCTGGAAAAGTTTATCAGTCACAGAAGGTATCCTAGCATTGTAGGGTTTACAAAGATATAGGAGATACAATCCTGGATGGACCTTGAGGGGCTATGAATACAGT